CTCCAATGAACAATGAGGAGGGGGACACAGCGGGGGAGGGTCTGGCTATGCTGCAAACCAGGACCTATTTGAGACCCCTCCTCAGTTTAGCAAGTCCTGCCAGCCAAGCACAGATGAGCCCAACCCCGGAGAAAGGAAACTCAGGTAAGTGGATGCATGCATTTTCCATTACAATGTTTAAATGTAAAGATGGTACCCAGCCCAGCCCAAGTTACCAAAGACACGTGTCAACTTTTCATTGCGTTATTCATGCACAAAGAGGTAGTGGTACAAGAAGCAAGTCCTATGACTTGGGACAAGTCCTGTGTTAGTGACCTCACAATGTGAAAAGATTTGTTGTTTTTCCCTGTTATCTTTCCTTTATTTACTTTGTTATTTAGGTGATTTTTTTCACTGATTTTTTGAGGGATAAAAAATGTAGAGATAGGTTACTGCATTCTAAGCTTATGGTCCTCCTCATAGTCTATCATTAGGCTTGGCAGAATTTGATTTTTTAAAAATAATTTCCACAAGTAATATCAATTGTTTTTAATGTTTTGGTTTTTTTTCAATTTTTATCAATTTAAATTTTCACAGTGCTGGGGAATTAATGGGAGTATTCAGACAATTTAATGACAGTAGATGTTGTGATTAAAAAAGTTAAAGCTCTATAACTGTTAACACATTGTCAACATCATATGTCAAAATAGATAAAGTAAATAGCCTTAAATCAAACTCCAACAAGTTCTCAAGCAATGTTTGTCTTTGCATATATGTAAATTTTGATTATTATTGATGGAAATATTTTTTGTTGGTTTGTGTGTGTACAGTGAAATAGATGTTTGCCGACATTAACTTATAAAAATATAAACCTTTCACGCTTATCTATCGTGAATAGTTATGGTTATAGCAGTCACTAAGAACACTTGCTCCATACTGATCCAACTCTTTGATGTTCACTATTTGTTTATTTGGCATCCCCTCACTGTCACATCCAGCATAAGATCCCTCCCTTAAAATTTCCATCAGTCTGATGTTATTGTCACTGTGTTTTGCCATTCTCTGTGTTGTTGAGTCTAAAGATGGTCTAAGTTTGGACCTTATACAACACAGGCCTAGTACTTCCTTTCTTCTATTAAGATGAAAAAAAAATGGGCTTATTGAATGATTCTTATGGGCCATTTAGAAGAACCTTTGCCAGAAACTGTTGTCAATGTATTAACCTTAGACACTTACCAATCAAGGTGTCCCATAGGTTTGATAGATTCTGGATTTAAAATCTTTTATTTTCAGTTTCCAAATAATTGCCTATACTTATAGATTCATGGAGGATGAGATGCTTGTGACTCTGCAGCCTGAATCTAGTTTTTACTGGACTCTCTGGTCTTCATTCCCAGTAAACAAGGGCCTGGTCATCATATTAAGCCTGAGCACTGCTGGAGGTTTTCAGAATCTGTAACACTTCAGGGAAAAGCCGGTTTGCTTTCCACTAAGGTTAATAGCTTTGCAGAACTCCGAAAAGCATTCACAACTGTTCTTGACTGAATCATCATAACAGCAAGCAGGTGCTTATATATAATCATACCTTTTGGGAACTGTCTCAGATCATTTGTCTGCCTCAAAGGATGTTCCTCATCACTACTCATCTGAAAGACATAAAAATGACTCAGATTGCTCAGATGGCTTTCGTTTCTACCAGAAACAGTGTACAATTCAGGATTCTTTTGTTGTTTACACATTTTAAGCAAGAGGCATGAAAATGGCACTTATTTATGTCAGGAATGGTTTTTTTTGTGGTAATGAATAAAAACGCCCTCCACTTTTTATTTATTTATTTTTTTGCTAAATCAAATATGTCAGTTTGATTTGTCTCTTGGGATACATTGGGCTGAAAGGAGAATGCATCTGCAAATAATGCTTTTCAACAGAGTTTAAGCACCTTGATACACAGCATATTACTAGTCAATAGAGCCAAACAAAGAGAATACAATGGGCCTTAAGGTAAAATACTTACACTAGAATTTTAAAAAGTAGTGATTACTCCCGACTGCCCACTTTAAAAATAAAGTAGCTAATCATTTTTTAAAGTTACACATGCAATACTCTTGCCTATATTTCCTTTCAACCATCCAGATCATTAAATAAAGTTAACTCATTTTCCTACCCTGCTTGCTTGCTGCACTTGTATCTAGAAAACGCTCAGGAGCAGAGATGGATACAAAAATTTTGCACAGAATATCAGATTGGCCCACTGCTTTTCTGGAATAGTTTGTGAAAAAGTTTCCCCATTTTTTCACTGTACAGTATGGGCAGGGCTGGCTCCAGTGTTTTGGCCGCCCCAAGCAGCCAAACAAACAAACAAACAAACAAAAAAGCCGCAATCGCGATCTGCGGCTGCAATTCGGCGGGAGATCCTTTGCTCCGAGCAGGAGTGAGGGACCATCCACCGAACAGCTGGGCATGCCACCCCTCTCCAAAGTTGCCACCCCAAGCACCTGCTTGGTAAGCTAGTGCCTGGAGCCGGCCCTGAGTATGGGTACTTTTCACCATTAGTATCAAAGAAGTGACCCTGTGAGCTGGAAACAGAACCCAGGAATCCTGACTCACAGAGATTGATTCCCCGTTGCTTGCCCTTCAGGTGGTCAGTTACACCAGTGCAAAGGGATTGTAAAATGGGTATATGATGCTACCAAATCAGACAAGTCGTGCTTTATAGTCACTTAATGCTTGTTTTTCACCGACGTAATTGGTTATACATGGTGCACAGCAATGGGAATTGGTACATGAGTCCCCTGCTCAGCTGACTAGATCACATCCCCTTCCAGACATTTAAATATTGGACTGCTGTAAAAAGTGATTACAAAAATTGGTAATAAACAGCAATCAAGTGGAAAGGTGGGGCTGTTCTGACCAGGACTAAGGATCTTTTTTATTGCCCATCATTTTTAAAATTTACTCCATCTTTTCATTTTGTCACATTGTCTTGAAGTGAGCAGTCTTATAGATGGAACAGGCTGACGGGCTTTGCTTCCAAGGCCGATGCATTAGGAAAGGTGATGTAATCTTCAAGAGTATTCCTTGGACTTACTGCCCTCTTCCTGACCATGACTCCATTTCAAAGAGCATATTGGAATCGATGGGAAGACTCCCGCTGCCTTCAATGAGCTTCAATCAGTGCCTCTATTTCCCAATCTGTAAAATGGATACAGTACTCACATGCCTGCTTCATAGCGGTGTCACAATAGACAGCTTTACTGATGGAAGTTTGTAAATACAGTTGAGCACTTTAGATCAAGCATAAGTTAGTATTCTATTAAGCGGATACTAGAAATCTGATAATTTAACAATTGTAAAAATGTCAACCTTTCCCAGATACACACAGAGAGAAAAGGTTAATTTCATGCATTGAAAATAGTAAGCTTCATTAATAATGACTCTTCTCAGTGGAAGTAATTACTTTTGGAAGGGGAGATATTCTTAAGCTCTGCCACAGGTTAACTTCCTTGGGCCTTGTCTGTAGTGGCAAAAATGGGAACTGTGGTTCACTAGTGGGGCAACTGTAGAATAGTTATGTTCAAACATTATTGCCACGGTGTTGTCTATCCCCTGTAAGGATAGATAAGACAGTGGTAAAAAGGCAGTAACTCTGTCTACATTAGGCTTCCACCATTGCTAGTGGTGCTAGCGGTGGTGATTTATGGGTTCCATTCCTGCCAGTGTCGATGCAGTGTGGAGGCTAAAACACCACACTTGCAATTATTTACGTATGTGCTTAATTATCTTCACTCGTATGTAATAATAATAATAATAATTAATAATGGAGATATCCCATCTCCTAGAACTGGAAGGGACCTTGAAAGGTCATCGAGTCCAGCCCCCTGCCTTCACTAGCAGGACCAAGTACTGATTTTGCCCCAGATCCCCAAATGGCCCCCTCAAGGATTGAACTCACAACCCTGGGTTTAGTAGGCCAATGCTCAAACCACTGAGCTATCCCTCCCCCCCAATGTACAGTTCCATTGAGTTCAATGGGATATCTCAGGGTAGTAAAGTTAAGCATGTGCATAAGTGTTTGCAGGACTGGGGTGTAACTTGCTAAGAAAAAATACACTGGTGAACTGGCTATGTAGTGAAAGACCTAAGCCTTTAAAACTGAGATTATTTGTTTATCAGGAAAAAAAATCGATTGAGGGTGTAGTAGGCCAGCCACCTCTCGTGCATATGTTCATGGCTTAGGATCATGCTCCAGGCAGTTCGCCTCAGTTTTCCCTCTTGGAGTGTTCAAATAAAACTTCACCCAGGCTTTTTCTTGGTCAAAAATACCCCCGCTCCCCTTGGGTACTGGGTTTATTAATGTAATACAATGCAAATAATGCTCAAAATCCCAAACAAAGTCCATTCATAAGGCCACACAACAGAAGATTTCTCTTCCTCCGCCCAGGTCTTGGGCAACTCCGCTGGTCTCAGGGTCTTCCCTGCAGGAGCCTTTCTCCACTCTCTGTAGACTCTGACACAACTCCCTAAGCTTTCCTCCTTCATTGCAGCCTCCTGTTGCTCTTTATGGAGCAATTACCCTGATCTCTCCCAGGTGTGGCTCATTCTGTAATCAGGATTTGCTAGCCCCAGCCCTCAGGGGGTGAGCCACCCTGTTATAGAGGGTTATGTTTTCATTTCCTGTTTAGAACAGATCTCTCCCACTTGGCAGTTGTGCTCCCTCCCCACCCTCACCCCTTTTCTGCACTTGGCTGCAGCCTAAAGCCTGAGTCAGACATGGTCCCTGGTTCTCCCCATCCTGTTATTCTGGAGTTTTTATGTTCTTTTTATCACACCCCTCTGCTTTCACATATGGCCACCACTGCAGTCATGCAGTCAGGAGCACAGGATGTGTTGAACACCTCAGTGCTCTCATTAGTGGCACTTTGTGGGTTCGCTGGGTGTGTGTATGAATGATGAAATTATCTTGCTCCCTCCAGTCGTCAAGTCTAAACATGTCACTTTCATGATATGTCTGGGCTCCTTACCTGCTGAGACAGAATCCTCATGTCACTTCCAGATCCAGGTCTCCTGTGGGCAACACAAATATTTTGCCATTAACCACAAGGCAAGAATTCAGTCTTTAAGAAACCAAACAAAATTAATAAACAAATGGATTCATTGCCTTACATGAACAAAACATAGGCAGCTGCAGCCGGAACATCCACCTATGCTAACTCAAAACCTCCTCTCATTGGTGTCCATATGGGAAAGTAAAATGGACCCAGATAAAGTAGGACAATGGCAATAACTTTACTAATGGTTTGGATGTCAGCTTATTGAAAAAATAACCATTCATAGTACATCATGTTTCTCTTAATTATTTTCTGAATGATTTCCCCTACTGCATAGTGTAGAAATTACTGACTCTCTTTAATTTAATATAATTGTGTAAAATATTTACTTAAAACACCTTATAATTAACACACTATAACTATATTATAAGTTACACTTTTACTATATTGTTTAAAGCACTTTACAAAGCTGAGTAAATATTTGTATCCTTGTACTGATTGAGGTGTGGAGTGATTCAGGTCAGCATTTTCAAAAGTGGTCATTGCTTTCTAATTTTAGTTTTAATTTTTCAGGGTTGAACTACAAACACCTTGGGTCTGATTTTTATAAGCGCTGAGTTGAAGTCCAAGAAAACTGCCAGGTCCTGAGCCCTTCTGAAAATGAGGCTCCACTTGTCTCAAATTGAGTATGCAAAAACTGACAGCCTCGAAGTCTGTATCGATTGTGATCTAAATGACTTTCCCAACGTCACAAAGCAACTCTCAGTAAGAGAGCTGGGATTAAAGCTCAGATTTCTGGACTCCCAGTTTTTTGCCCTACCTACTGGACCCCACATCCTCCCTTAAGTTTTAATGTCTGGTTTAAGGTAGAAGGCTTAACCACAGCATAAAATGAATGCAGGAGACTTAATTTTCACAGGAGTTGAACCTAGACTTAGGCATTCTCTACCAGGTGAGATAAATATGACCACCAACCACAGCACATTCAGAACTAATGCCCCTATTCAGCAAGGCAAAGAAGAAGTGATGCTTAAAGTTAAATATGTGCTTAAGTGCTTTGCTAAATAGGGATGGACTGCTGAATCAGCGTCCAAATGCAAAACGGATTGATCCAAGTTAGCTTTTCCTCAATAAGTTCATCACCTACATTTTTACACACACACACACACAGATCCCCTCCATCCCCAAACTATACATTAAACAAGCTTTATGACAAATAGGTCTCGTCAAACAACTCTGATTTTGTTCTTGAGTTTGGTTGATAAAGATAATGATGTAAATGTAATATAATGGAGTTTTGTAAATGTAATGTAAATGGACTTTTGTAAGGCATTTAAGTTAGTACCACATGACATCCTTATTAAATAATTAGCACCTTACAGTAACAATAAAGCACATGTTAAATGCAGTAAGAACTGGCTGACTGACAGATTAAAAAAGTAGTTGTCAATGGAGAATCATCATAGAATGAGGGTGTTTCTAGTGAGGTGCCACAGGCATCAGTTTCAAAATTGATGCTATTCAATATTTTTATCAATGATCTGGTAGTAAACAAAAAATCCTACTGACAAAATTTGGGGATGACACAAAGGTTGGGGGAGCGGTGAATAATGATGACTACAGTACAGTCATACGGAACGACCTGGATCACTTGGTAAGCTGGGCCCATTCAAATAAAATGTGTTTTAATACAGCTAATAGAAGGTCATATATCTAGGAACAAAGAATGCAGGCCATACCTAAAGATTGGGGGACTGTATCCTGGAAAGCAAAGATTCATAGATTTTAAAGCCAGAAGGTACCATTAGATCATCTTGTCTGACCTCCTGTATTATCCAGGCCATAGAATTTAACCCAGTTGTCCCTCCACTGAGCCCAATAACTTGTGTTTGACTAAAGTATATCTTCCAGAAAGACATCCAGTTTTGATTTGAAGGCATCAAAAGATGGAGAATCTACCACTGTGGACAAACAACTCAGCCTGGGCTCCCCGTGTGATGCTGTGACCAAAAAAGGCTAGTGCAATCCTTGGATGTATAAACAGGGGAATAGTGAGTAGGAGTAGGCAGGTGTTTTTACCTCTAAATACTATATTTGTGAGATCGATACTGGAATACAGTGTCCATTTCTGGTGTACACATTTTTTAAAATGTTGAAAAATTAGAAAGGATACAGAGAAGAGCCACAAAATGATTCAAGGGTTGGGGAAAATGCCTTGCAGTGAGAAAGTTAAAGAGCTCCATCTGCTTAGTTTATCGAAAAGAAGATCAAGAGGTGATTTAATTACAGTATATAAGTACCTTCATGGGGAGAAAATACGGGGTGCTAAAGAGCTCTTTAATCTGGTGGAGAAAGGCATAATAAGAATCAATGGCTGGAAGATAAGTGAGCAACATTCAAATTGGAAATAAGGACATATTGCTAACAGTGAGCGTGATTAACCACTGGAACAAACTGCAGAGGGAAGTTCTGGATTCTCATCTCTTGATATCTTCACATCAAGACTGGATGTCTCTTTGAAAGCTATGCTTTAGTCAAACGCAAGTTATTGGACTCAGTACAGGAGTAACTAGATGAAATTCTGTGGCCGGGAGGGCAGCTTAGATGATCTAGTGATCCCTTCTGGCCTTAAACTCTGTGAATCTATTTCTCCTATAGGCTGTGAAAGAAGAAAGAGATAAAGATTATTATTATTATTTCTGTTTTTAAATTCTTGGGAGGCATTAGGAATATGATAATGGGGACCACATATGCATGCAGATAGATAGCAGAGAAATGTACCCTCTACCTTAAAAAGAAATAATCTTAAACATGAAATATAATAAAAGGAACATCAAAAATAACACCAATTATATTTTCCTTTAATTATCACAGTTGCTACAGCTGTCAAGTGAATTATAACCTCTTAAACATGCCAATTTTGAAAGTACTTTAGATTACAACCAGAAGATGACAAGGGAATAAGAGTAATTGGAATTAAATTTATACAGTGGTGAATTCTTAGTTTAATGTTTAAATGGATTCTAATATATTGAAACTGCCAGAAACTTACACAGGATCGTGAATAAAAGTAGTAAAAATGTACTGTATAATGTACCGGTAGGTAGTGCTGCACCAAACTTTTGTAACAAGAGTCTGACCCAATTTATAGTCCAAAATTCAGCCATCGGTTCACACCGAGTTCCATTATGGTTCATGAACCCTTTGGTGAACGTGGCCTGAAAGTCAAGTTGAAAGGGAGCATAATAGTGTGGTGGGATGTAAGTGTTTTGGAGGTTTTGGTTTTGTTCTGCAGTGACATTAATTCGTTCTTATGAGGTGAAAAACCTCACATGAGATTGAGAGAGGAGGGTTATAGTCAACTCTCTCAAGGGATAGTGGCCCAGCCTGTTGCACAGTTATTAGTTTATATATATCATATTAGTGCCAGTCAAGATCAGTGCCCCATTGTGTTGGGTACCTATACATATACATAAGAAGAGGCAGTCCCCACTTGAAGATCTTACTGTCTAAATAGACAAGACAGGCAATGGGGAAACAGAGGCAGAGAGATAAAGTGACATGCCCAAGGACACATAACAGGTCAGTGACAGAGGAATAGAATCCAAGCTCCTAGGCCAGTGCCCTCTCTGCTAGACCATACTGCCTCATTGCATTGACTCATAACAAAAGTTTTTCATGAATTCAGAGGTTGCCTCCTCTGATTCCTTTTCCAGGTGGCAGCAGCAGGCTCCCATCACTCTCTCCTTTCTACTGCCCAGGGACATGCACCAACCCATCTTACAACATAGCAAGATATAGCAAGTCCAGAGCCATATTCCAAATGCATGTTATTTGTATAGGTTACTCCGGTGTAGTTGAGCAATGAGTAGCATTCAGTGGTCTTTGTGCTTGTAGTCTTTTCTGTTGAGCACTAAAGCAGACTATCCCTTTTGGGGCACAAGAGGATCTGTGATGAAATCCTAGCCCTACTGAAATCAATGGGAAAACTCCCATTGGCCTCAATGGGGATAGGATATCATTACTGGAGAGTGCATTCCATTAATCGAGACACAAGATGGCATCCACAGGTAGTGGATGGGAAAGTGCAATTTTTCTGAGCTCAGAACTGGCAACACCAGGAGAGCCATGAGCAGACTGCTCATTCTGTGTGGAACAGTGACCTTTAATAGGAGAGTTTGCTTGTGCCTATTTCTGTGCAGGTGTGCAAGTTTGCAAAGAACCTGGCACTCCTTGTTTGTCCCTCTGTGTAGGAGTCATTATTATTATTGTTGTTATTTGTATTACTGTAATGCCTAGGAACCCTACTCATGGGCAGGACCCTTTTGTGCAAACACAGAACCAAAAGAATGGCCCTGCCCCCAGTAGTTTACAATTTAGGTAAAAGATAAGAAACAACCAGTGGATGCAGATAGATAGGGGAGTTCAAGGAAACAATGAGATGGTATTGGGCAGCACGATAGACTGTGGTCTCAGCACACCAGTGACCTATCCATTGTCAAGTTTTTTGTAGGCATCATGGCAAAGGAGAGCTTTGAGGAGGGATTAGAAGGTGGATAATGAGGTAGCTTTTTGGATATTCATGGGATGGTCCTCCAAAGCAAGTGGGGGCAGCATGGGAGAAAGCATAATGGGTGTTTTTGATGATTTTGTCCACAGTGATCCAAAAAGCAGATAGAGGGAAAGACTTTGTGGTGGGCAGAGGAAGATTAGGAGCTCTGTTTTAGTAATATTTAGCTTGATATAATGGCTAGACATCCAAAAGGATATGACAGAGACACAGGCTGAGATTTTAGTTTGAACAGAAGGAGACAGGTCTGGAATAAAGAGGTAGGTCTGTGAGTTGTCAGCAGTGATGCCAGTTGAATTTGTGTTTGCAGATGAAATTACCCAGAGGCAAGGTGTAGAGGGAGAAGAGAAGGGGACAGAGCCCCGTGGAACACCCACAGAAAGTCAGATAGTTGCACTTCTGGCTCTTATCTTTAGCACAAGAACAAACTCCATGCCAGCACGAAG